CTGACAGCCTTCCTCAGGGTCTCTCCAGCCCCACCCTGGGGCGCTGACAGCCTTCCTCAGGGTCTCTCCAGCCCCACCCTCGGGCGCTGACAGCCTTCCTCAGGGTCTCTCCAGCCCCGCCCTGGGGCGCTGACAGCCTTCCTCAGGGTCTCTCCAGCCCCGCCCTGGGGCGCTGACAGCCTTCCTCAGGGTCTCTGCAGCCCCACCCTGGGGCTCTGACAGCCTTCCTCAGGGTCTCTCCAGACCCACCCTGGGGCGCTGACAGCCTTCCTCAGGGTCTCTGCAGGCTCCTAACCGACGGCGGGCAGGAAGGGCGGCAGGGCCCTGCTGTCGGTTAGAAGTGCGTGTAAATTACCTCGCAGCCTCGTGGTTGTGGATTAGCGGTGACACCAAGCCTGACTTTCGGTTGTGGGCTGGCGGTGACGTCACATCTGACTTCCGGTTGTGGCTTAGCAGTGACGTAATGTCTGTCTTCCGGTGTGGCTTAGCGGTGACGTCATGGCTGACTTTCGGTTGTGGGCTGTCGGTGACGTCATGTCTGACTTCCCCCACACAGGCCGCAAACACCGACGCAAGCGCCAGGAGACCCCCGGAGAGTGACGGGCCTGTTGAAAAGCGAGCAAAGCGAGCCCGGGACGGGGGCGGCCGCGGTGACTCGGCGCCGGGGAGCCCCGGTGAGTCCTGCTTCTCCGCGCTCGCCGCCGCGGCTCTGAAACTGCTGCGTTACCCNGGCTCCGCGTTTTCACGGGGCAGCGTGGCCCGTCGCAGCCTTGCCCCGTCCCCTCCGTTTCTCCGCGGGTGCGTGGCCTTGTCCTGGGCGCCGACGGCGGTCCGCAGGTCGGCGCTCTCCGGGCCCTGCCTCGCGCCCGCCGTCCCGAGGGTACTGGGGGACCTGGGGCTTGACGGGCTTCCCGCCGACCGCGGGTCACCGTCTCGTGGCGTGGTCGGTGGTGACCGTCAAGTGCAGTCACAGCCAGCGCTCGAGGGGCCCGTCTTTACTGCCCAGCCGACTGCCCGGCGCTAGACGGGCACCTCCTGCGCGTCAGGGTGCTTCTCTGGACGAGGGAGCCGAGTGGCTGAGGTGCCACGTCCCACGGGCGCGCTGGCTGCGCGAAGGGGCGGCCTCGCTCCCTGGGGCTCCCCGCGGGCGGGTGCGAGGCGCCCCCCGCCCTGGGGCGCTGACAGCCTTCCTCAGGGTCTCTGCAGGCTCCTAACCGACGGCGGGCAGGAAGGGCGGCAGGGCCCTGCTGTCGGTTAGAAGTGCGTGTAAATTACCTCGCAGCCTCGTGGTTGTGGATTAGCGGTGACACCAAGCCTGACTTTCGGTTGTGGGCTGGCGGTGACGTCACATCTGACTTCCGGTTGTGGCTTAGCAGTGACGTAATGTCTGTCTTCCGGTGTGGCTTAGCGGTGACGTCATGGCTGACTTTCGGTTGTGGGCTGGCGGTGACGTCATGTCTGACTTCCCCCACACAGGCCGCAAACACCGACGCAAGCGCCAGGAGACCCCCGGAGAGTGACGGGCCTGTTGAAAAGCGAGCAAAGCGAGCCCGGGACGGGGGCGGCCGCGGTGACTCGGCGCCGGGGAGCCCCGGTGAGTCCTGCTTCTCCGCGCTCGCCGCCGCGGCTCTGAAACTGCTGCGTTACCCAGCGCGCGGCGGGCGCTCCCGGCGGAGACAGGCCTCCGCTGCGCCTGCGCACCGGGCCCGGGCGGCGCTGCTGTGTCGGGGTCGGCGGTGCGGGGAGGAGCTGCCGGTCTGCAGCGTGGCTGTAGCTTCCTCTAGATTATTTTTGTCTTGATTATAAAAGTAAAACATGTTTGTTGTAAAAAAAGCAATACAGAAATGTAGAAGGTGGACAGTGATAGGCCCACAATCCCTCCCTCTCAGTGAGGCCTACTGCTAATTTGGGGGGAGACTATATTCTTTCAGGTCTTTCTATTTATTCACATGTATGTGTATACACATAGACCCACAAATTAGTTAATAATGTTCTATAAGTTTTATACTGTATATGCTAATTTGCAACTATCTTTTTCCACTTAACGTTTTGGAGAATTTCCATCTCAGGACATGTAGCTCTCCCCTGTCCTTTTTTATCATGGAGCTACTTTTTCCGTATGCAGAAAGGTTTTGGCTAAAGCCACCATTCCTGAGGTCCTAGACCTCTGTAGGTGTTGGATATACAGCTGGTTGAGCAGATTTTTCTGTTTTTTGCCTCAAGAATATGTGATAAGGGAAGACGGAAAACGCTCCTTTCTTCATTACCCTCGTAGCTGAACTGAACTGCCCGCAGCTCGGGAATGAAGCGGCGGCAGAACCT